GCTTGTTCCCTCCAGCCAACCTACAGCCCAGCCCACTGTCCCCTCCTCAGTGAGACCTCCCTGACTGTCTGCTCACCCACCACTTCCCCACATCATGCCCAGGCTAGAGTGCCGTGGCATCAGCCTAGCTCACAGCAACCTCAAACTCCTGGGCTCAAGCTGTCCTCCTGCCTCCCGAATAGCTGGGACTACAGGTGTGTACTACCACACCCGGCTAATTTTTCTATTTTTGGTAGAGACAGGGTCTTGCTCTTGCTCAGGCTGGTCTCGAACTCCTGACCTCAAGCGATCCTCCCGCCTCGGCCTCCCAGAGTACTAGGATTACAGGCATGAGTCACCGCACCCGGCCACTTTTATATGAGTTCTTTAGATTCTTTTCTTCAGCCCAGAAATTGATTTTTCGGCTATATCCATTTTAATATCCAACCAATTCCATTGAATTATTTATTTGAGCCATTAATTTTTTTCATATGCAATATCTGCAATAGCTCTTCTATGTAACTGTTTGTTCCTGGGAAGATGTATAAGCCTGGATGCTCCGTGTGAGTTGAAGGATTTGGGGATTGGTATGTCTTGGGGTAGAGAACCTCTAGAGCTGAGCTGAGCCCATTCTCCTTTCCCTTCCCTAGCCTGTGACTCCCTAGGGAAGTCCAGTACTTCTGCCTTAGCCACCAGGCAAGAGCATGGAGAAAGTCTAGGAGTGAGTGATATTTATTGCAATTGCCTGGCCCAGAGGGCGGAGGGAGGGGTAGGAAAGGAATTGTCAGTTACTGGCCAGCCTTGATGAGACTGCACATTTTCTATGAGCTTTCCAACCCTACCACACCTTAAAGTTACCATGCCACCTTGGGCTGCCACTGGGCCAGCCCTGCCAAGTTTCTGCCTTGTGGTGTTTACAGGACAGGTAATGAGCCTTTCAGAAAACATGAGGAGAGAAAAGAATGCAATTTAGAAAGCTCCACCTCAGCTGATCTTCCATCTGGGGGGTCTGACCTTTTTCCACTCTAGACCATCTCATCCCCCAGTGGCGACCAAACCATCAAGTTTTGTTGCTGGGAACTGTTCTGAACTCCAACTACTTCCTCACCCCTTCTGTGGCAGGGTGGGTTTGGGAAAGAAGCCAACAGGTATTTTTAGTTCACCATCTTCATCTGGGACCAGATATGCCATTACATTTTAATAGTCATTTCAAGTCCTTACTGACAATAATAACTAAACTACATATAGCACTTACCACGTGACAGGTGCTATTCTTATTTTCTTCTTTCATACTTCCTTTTTTTTTTTTTTTTGAGACAGTCTTGCTCTGTCACCCATGGCTATAGTGCAGTGGCATCATCACAGCTCACTTCAGCCTCAAACTCCTGGGCTCGGGCAATCCTCCTGCCTCAGCCTTCCAAGTACCTGTGACTACAGGCATGCGCCATCATGCCCAGCTAATTTTTCTATTTTTAGTAGAGACGAGGTCTTGGTCTTGCTCAGGCTGATCTTGAACTCCTGACCTCAAGTGATCCTCCTGCCTCGGACTCCCAGAATGCTAGGATTACAGGCCTGAGCCAGCACGCCTGGCCTCATACTTTCTATTTCTCAATCCTTTCATGCTACACTGTGTAGTGGTGCCGTGCCTGCATACATTTTTTTTTTATTGAGTTGCTCCAGTTTCTCTTATTGATATGCAAACACTTTGTTGTTTATTAGAGATAGTTACTTTTGTTACATGTTTCACCAGTTTCCCCTAAATTTGCCTTTTTAAAAATGGTTCTTTACAGCATATGTTGACTTAGATGACACTTTAATTTTTACAACTTTAAATATATCAGATTTATGTCAGAGTTCAACTTTTTTTTTTTGCACAGAATTAATTCCTAAAACCGTCAGAGTTTCCCAAGGCAGAGTCACTTTAACAGAGAATAGAACAAGTCATGACCATTCACACACATCTCCATGCTACACATGAAAACAGAATTGAAATTCTTGTAAAAGTGCTCACTTCAGCATCATACTGAAACAGGTCCTTGGGTCAAGCTTTGTGAAATAGGATGATCTCACCCTCTGCTGAGGCCAGGAGCAGGGGCAACACCTTCATCTGTTTTTGTGGTGCTTTTTGTTAGCTGTGAAGACTTGCATTTTTAAGTCCAGGCACTGGAATTTCACGTTATCATTATTATTAAAAGGCAGGCTTGTTCAGCTTAAGTTTAGTGGCAGTAAGGGATAAAGAATAGTGAAACTAGAAGCATATAGTATTAATCAGTTACATTCAATTGCCCTATTTGTAAATAGGGAGGGGAAAAAGATTATATAGCTGTAGTGGCTTGTATATGAATAAAAATAATCTTTAAAGAGAGATGTCCTTAAGCATCTGATTTCTTTCATAAATACACGTGAATTGTTTTTGGTATGGCCCTTGCACTAAAAAATGGCTTTACTATTTCTAAATGATTGAAAAAAATCAAAAAATAATTTGTGACACTTGGAAATTATATGAAATTCAAATTTCAGTGTCTATAATACCATTTTCACTTATTAGGTGGCAAAGATCCATGTTTCACAACTCAGGCTGTTGGCAAGGCTGTGGTGAAATCAGCCCCATGCTAGGTCCTCCTGACTCTTGCTTGGACCGGCCATGCTCGTTCCTACCTCAGGGCCTTTGCACTCGCTGCTGCCCTCTGCTTGGAGACACACTTTGCCATGATAACCATGAGGCTTGTTCCCTCCAGCCAACCTACAGCCCAGCCCACTGTCCCCTCCTCAGTGAGACCTCCCTGACTGTCTGCTCATCCACCACTTCCCCACATCACTTCACATTTCTTCATAGCTCTCATCTTTATCAGAAATGATTTCTCTCTTATCCTCTCTTCTGCTAGCTAGCTTTTTCCGAAAAGAGCCAGAGAGTAAATGACGTTGCAGGGCCACATGGTCTCTGTTGCAAATCCTCAGCTCTGCACAAAAAAAGCCATAAACAATATGTAAATGAACAAGCATGACTGTGCTCCAAGAAAACTTGACTTACAGGCACTGAAATTTGAATTTCATATAACTTCCAAGTGTCACAAAATATTACTCTTTCGATTTTTTTTAATCATTTAGAAATATGAAAGCCAGTCTTATCTTAGTTCGAGGGCCATACCATAATAAGTGGCAGGCTGAATTTGGCCTGTGGGCCATAGTGTGTCCATTCTTGTGCTAGACCGTCAACTCCTTGATGGGCGCTGTCATCCGTTTCATTCACTGCTATATCCCCAGAGCCTAGAACAGTGCCTGGCACCCAGTAGGCTCTCAACAGATGCTTCCTGAGTGAGTGACCACATGAGAACAAGCACAGTCCTACTTTCAGGGCCTCAGTTTACCCCAGCCTGGACTTGAGCAGGCTTTGCCAAGAAGTCTTAGGAAAAGATCAGAAGGCAGAGGCCAGAGCTGTAATTCAACATCTTTATTCTTCCCCTTTAGCCCGAGGGTAATCCTGACAAATAGCTTTGGCCAAGAGGAGACAGAGGAGACTGGGCTGGGCAAGGGCTCCCCCAGGGCCTGGCTACCTCCTCCTTCCATGGGGCTGGGGTTGTGATAGAGCCATGATCCAAGCTTAGCATCCCTGGGGAGAAAGAAAGTGGACCACTCTGCAGCCTCTGCCGCCCCCACCTCCAACAGCCATGCTAATGAGAACCAGCCCCCTCCACACCCAGGCACGACGGACCCTAGAGAGCAGCCCGACTCCCTCCATACGCATGTGTACATGTGCACGGGGACCAAGGCAGCGCATGGTCAGTGTCCAGACACACTGCTCTGGCCTGTGGCCCAGTTGGCAAACATAAAGCCTATACTGATCGCCATGAAGAGGACCCCCAAGGCGCCAAAACACAGAGCCTGCGGGCAAGAGGGAGAGAAGATAGGGCTGGTTGGGACTCCTTACCTAAGCTCCACCTGAGAATGTTCCTCAAGCCCTCCACCCTCCTCCAGAGACAGCCCAATCCATCCTGACCCTCCTCTGTGCTCCCTACAGCCAGCCCCTTCCTGTGAATCCTCCCTCACCTTCCCAGGACCCAGCCGGGAATGCTCTCCTCCAGCCTCCTGGAAAGTGCTCCCAGCTCTCTCCCCAACAGTGCTCCTTCCATCTGCCTGCAGAATGCTCCTCGCCTGGCAGCCCCTTCTTGAGCGCTCCCCGTCTTCCCAGCCTCTGTCGGTGCTCTGTCTGCTCTGCCCCTTCCCGAGATAGTCACCCCTATTCTTCCAGACCATCACCCCTTCTGCATACTCCTTCCTCCTCCAGCCCCCTCCTCAGAATGCCCCCTGTCCCCAGCTCTCCCCTGGAATGCTCGCCTGGATCTTGGGCCAGGAGAAAAGGGGCTCCACCTCAGAGGGTACAATGCGGAGGTAGAAGATGCTGGGGAGGATGAAGATGAGGCTGGGGGCTGATGTGGACCCTGGAGGACAAGAAGGAGGGACAGAAGTCAACCTAAGCTTGGGTACAAGGCCCATATTAGGTGGGGTATGGGACTGGGGTTGGGGCTACTGACCGATAACCCCAAAGATATCCCGGATGGTCGGCACACAGATGACAAGGACATTGACCAAAACAAGCAGGATCAGGGCTATGGTCACGTGCCGCAGCCAGCTGAAGGCCTTGCCTGGGAAAAGCAGCTGCTGCAGAGCCCGGCGGATCTGCGGCAGGGGAAGGGTGCGGCAGAAGTCAGGACCCAAGTGCTGCCCCCTTCCATGTGATAATCCGCTCTAACTCCACTCCCCATCCCGGATCCCCGATTTCCCCTCCCTCTGTCTATGGCTCTGCCCTGCCAGACCTTCCATCTGTGCCTCCACCTGCTCAATGAGCTTCCTGCCTCTATCCTCTGACAATCCACATCCCCTTCTGTCTGAACATCCATCTGTGTCTCCACCCACTGTCTGAAATCCTCGCCCCCCACCTCACCATCTCTGCCTCCCCCTATCTGATCATCTACCTGTCCTTCCACACCCTGAGATCCCTGCCTCTCTCCAACTGACTACCTCTACCTCCCCCGTCTAATCATTCCCTCCTGCCCCTCCCCCTGTCCCCCTGACCCTCTCCGTCCTGCCATCTGCATCCCCCCTTGTGTCTGACCATCTATTTTTGCCTTCTCTGTCCATCTGTCAACTATGCCTTCCCTGTCTGTCCATCCTTGCCTCCTCCATCCACCCATCCACTCCCATCTCCACCCTCCACCTGAACTTCCATGTCCCTCCTCCCCATGGGCCCACCCTCGCCCCCACACACAGGGAACAGCACGACTGGCACAGTGAGGGTCACCGCGAGCAGCACGGCCAGGCGCACGCAGAGGATGAGCATGTCCTCCTGGCTGTACATGTGCAGCATTTCCGCCTCCACGCTGCCTGGACAATGGGACAGGGAACACGCGATGCAGGATGTGGCAGGAGCACCAGGACCAGTGCCCCAGAAACCCACACACATACATGGTGACAAAATCTACATGTGTAATGCACACCCCCTCCCTTTAGAAACTGATAGGTCCAAGGTCATGGAGGGAAAGAGCTCAGAGGCTCCTGCCCCGGCCCTCTGCCCAGTCCCCACACCTGTCCCCGAGCCCTGGCCCCAGCCGCACTCACTGTAGAAGGTGAGGTATCCGAAGGTGGCTGTGAGCCCGTACATGCAGAACATAGCCCCAATGGACACGTTGGCCACGGCCTGCATCCTGCGCTGGGAAGGCCTGAGGTGCAGAGGCCACAGAACTGTCATGCCCAGAACACCGGATTTGGCCCAGACCCCTCAAAGCCAGCCCTGCCCTGCAGCATCCCATTCTCCCAGACTGACGTTCAGCTGGTGTACACTGGGATGCTCATCTCCACCTCCGCTGTGTGACTAGCCAAGCCTCCCCTCCCTGTCCATCCATATCTCACCCCACGAGACCACTGGGATACCCAGGTAGCCTACAAGGGGCAATACAAAGAGCCTCAGAAATCAAGGAACCCCCCCCCACCACGGCAAACCCCATCTCTGCCTCTCCCCTCCATTTGACCACCACTGCCTCTCCCTTCCATCTGACCATCCATGCTGTCTCTCTGTCTGATCATCCACACATCCCCCCATCATAACATCCCTACCTCCCCATCCCTGTCCATGCATCCCACCCCTCCATGTGATCATCTGATCTCAGCCTCCCAACTCTGCCCACTCACATTTGTGCTGGAAGTTAAAACAGGGGAATACCTAAGCCCCAATCAGTAAATGGTCACCGCCCTGAGTCCCCTGAGGCCTCCTGGCCACTCCAAACCCCTCCCTTGGCACAACCCAGTCACTATCAAGCTACAGTCCCAGGACTGCTGTAGGGATTGTTAGGCATGTGACTACCACCCCCCTGCTGGCCCATGTCACGTGCCCACCTGCCCGCCCACTCACCGGCAGAGCTCCGTGTAGATGGGCAGTACCTCAGGGTGGCAGACAAAGGCGAAAGCCATAATGGGCACTGTGTAGGACATCTGGGGAAATGACCCAAGTACACAGGATTGCAGTCCACAGGGGTCTATCCCCTCCCCCCGGCCCCACCATCGCCCTCCGTATCAGACACGTGGGAGCCCCCAATGCCCAATACCTGGCTTCCCTCTGAGCAGCATACTCCGCGTGACGGGATCAGGGGGCCTGAGTGTGGCGCAAGTTCCTGCATGCCTGCGTACCCACCTGTGAGTCGACTGTGAACAGCTTGGCCTCACAGCTGCTGTTGAGCCCCGGGGGGGCTTCACTCTCCATTGCTGTCTCATTGCGGCCTACAGCACAGCCAAGTTGGAACTTCTTATAGATGACCTGGGGGTGGGGGGAGCAGGGAAGAGAGGTCATGGTGGGGGCTGTGTCCCAAAGTCCCAAACTCCCTCCCCACTTTTTCATGTTCTTCTCTCTGACTCACCGAAATGAGGAAAAACAGCATGCAGGTCAGAGAGAGACCACTGGTATACCCCAGGTAGCCTACAAGGGGCAATACACAGAGCCTCAGAAATCAAGGGACAACCCCCATGCCAAACCCCAAACCCCTGGTTTGGCCTTCAAAGTCCCCTCACCCCAATTACCCTTGCAAAAGCTTTTACTTCCACCCAGACCAGCCACCCCTCCATAGTAAACTCCTACTAATCTGCTAAACCCCACATCAAACAAGCTCTCTCCTGGTGTCCCGCAGCCCTTGAAAATGGGAAGTTTCTCAATGGCTCCCCCTCTCAAACCCACTATCCAATGACCAACCCAGGAAGCCTCTTACCCAGGTGTTTCATAAGGGCCAGGGGCAGGATGATTAACACACTGACAAGGATGATAAGGAAGTTTCCCTTCAAGAACCAGCTCCTAGGGAGACAGGGAAACACAGTGCCTCGCTGCCAGCCAAACAAAGCCGTCAGGTAGACACTCACAGAAGACAGCCAGACAGACAGATTTCTGCCCGCAGTCAGGAAAGATAAGCTGACACCTCAGCTGTGATAAGTCATTCAGGTGGTTACAGTGACAAATGGCACAACAGGATTGCGAAAAACAGACTGATAATGAAGACAGTCAGTCACACACTGTTGATGGGACACAGCTGACAACACATGCACAGTTGGACAAAACTTGCCGTCAGATTCAGAAGCGTATATACAATCAGATGGTCAAACACGCTGAATCAGTCAGACTCAATGTGCAAATCAGTCCAACACAAGGTGCCAGACACAAAGATAGAGTGAGTCACGGTCCTGGTATGTCTGACAGGTAGAACAGCAGTCTGCTGAGCTGATAGACAGGCCCCGACACAGAGTCTGTCAAAAAGTCAGAAACACACACGCATGCTTGTTTGAACAGCTCAAGGTTTGCTGGATGCCTGAAAGTATGCCCGTGGGATGATGTGGCCACACACCCAGAGAAAGACTGAAATAGAAACAGAATCAGCCAGCTGGCCACGGTTGGAACTAAGCTCTGAGAAAAAGTGAGACCTGTACAGATATTGGAGGGAGGGGCCCAGGCAAGACTGGTTAATGCAGAATCAGCTGAGCAATGCTCATTTGGTCCAAACAACTGGACTGAATGCCTACTATGTTCCAGGCATTCACACGTTCTCTTTCTATCTCATACACAAAGTTACCCGGAAATAAACCAACAAAGCGCCATTGGCCATATATACAATGAGAGCTAATTATAATAATTAGATATACCTAGTCACACTGTAAGCTACCCGGATGTTCTCAGAATCAAACCAAAAATCTAACAGGATATATACAGGCAATAAAAAGCAAGCACTCAGTTAAAACTGTCAGACAGACCAACTAACCCATAGTCAGACTCACAAACCAGACATGTGCATACACACCATGCAAAGTCCATGGGACCAGAGTCAAAGTCAGCCACTGGTCACTAGAGCTGTGCGTTAAACATACAAAGGCAGCTAGACACACTCAGCTGGAGCAAAAGCATCACCGCACACTGCACGCACACGCACGCTGCTGGGACCCCATCATAGACAGACAGACAGACTGAGCACATGTTGGGTCTGGACTCAAACACACAGTTGGATGCATGGTCGGAACAACAGTCAAAGACACATGGTTGCAAACTGTAAGACAGGGTCGGGGAGCATACACACACAGCCAGAGAGAATTTGCCAGAACAAAAGTCACCAAATCAAACCCAGAGATGAAGTTGACTGGATACATACAGTCAGAGCAAGTCACACATAGTTGATACCACAGTATACTACACACACACATATACACACAACATTGGAATCAGCAATCATACACTTACGGCTAGACAGATTCAGCCAGATGAACCCAAAATCAAACTCAAAGAAACAGCTGGACAGGGAAAGTCAGAGTAACCAAGCGTCAGACACATGGTCAGAATCACAGTATACAGGACACAGCTGGAGTCAAGCATACAGCCAGCCAGAAAGAACTGGCCGCACAACAATCACTGAACCAAACCCACAGACAGTCTAAGTCTATTGGCTATGTACAGTCACACACACAGGGTCAGCATCAGAGGACACTGGCCAGACAGAGGCAGTCACCAGCCAGAAGCAGCCAGAATAACAGTCACAAAATCAGCACATAGTCTACTGGACTTCTATAGTCAGAGGAACAGTCACACATACTGTTAGCATCACAATACACAGGAATCACAGTCGGACCCAACTGACCTGCCCAACAGTCACAAAACAGAACACCTGGGAGTCAGCTGGACACAGAGAGTAGAAGATAACAGCCGGACCGACCTCACAGGCAGAGTCAAGCGACTGCAGGCCAGCCAAAGGGTGTTGCTCACTCACCCCTCGGAGGCCCTGTTCAGGAAGGTGCCAATAACCAGGGGGAGCTCAGATTTGATGATGAATAGGTAACTGGACATGGCTGGTGCGGGTAGGAGGAGGTATAAGCAAAAGGATTCCCTTCATGCCCCCACCTTGTCTTCCCCAGCCCAGCCCACCTCACCCCACCTTCTTCCCCCACCCCAAGCTGACCCCCACCTCGCAGACTCCTCACCCCCAACATTGTGCAGACAGATGACCACAGCCACCGCTACCTTCCCCGCAGGCCCGAATGCCTTCTGTCCCAGCTGCTCATAGGCCCGGATGCCTAGTGAGGGGAGGGTATAGGCAGGAACAGGTTGTAGGTCCAGGAGGCCAGGCTAGGGGTGCAGGCCAGAGGTTTGGGGAGCTGGGGAGTTGAAGCTTAGGGGAACTGGGTTTGATTGATGGAGGCTGGAGGTGCGGGCTAAGCAGAGCTGAGTTTGGGGGTAGAGTCTGGAAGGTGGGATCTTAGGCCAGGGAGAAGATTGGGGGCTAGAGGTAGCGAGTGGGGGGCTTGGAGCCAGAATATGGACTGAGACCATGGTGGGAGTGAAGCCTGGGGACCGAGGAGTGGGGGCCTCAGGGTTATGGGGCTGGCTTCCAGGTTAAGGGGACGGTCTGAGGACTGAGGGTGGGGTTAGAGGTAGAGTGCAGTGGTCTGAGCAATGGAGTCTGATGGCCGGACTGAGGGGTGGGGGTTGGGAATTGGGAGATGGGGATTTGGGAGCGCAGATAAAGTCTGAGGGTCAGGGTTCTGGAGTTGAGTGAGGAGTCTGGGGTGCGGGGCCTGGGATCTGGGGTCAGGGTGGTACGTCCAGAGTCTGGGTGTTGGGTTGAGGTCTGGGGTCAGGGAGTTGGGTTCGGAGTCTGGGGTCCAAGGTCTTAGGTGAGCTCCGGATGTGGATCAAGAGTCTGGGGTCCAAAGGGGTGGGGGTAGGGGCTGGGATCCAGGCTCTGGGTCTCACCTATGACACCAGCACACGTCAGCAGGAGGTGAATGGAGTACGAAGACAGAAGTGCGATGCACAGCAGCAAGGCTCTGTGGCGGATGGCACAGCTTGGACTTCGTCCCGGGCCTCCCGCCTGCCCCACAACACCCCTGGCGCCCCAGGCCACCCATGGACTCACAGGAAGAAGAGGACCCCTGTGTGGGCCATGGCATAAGCCAGCCCCAGGATGCCGCTGCCCATGATGGCGTTGCTGAGGTTGAACACCGACATTCCGAACGATATCTTCCCCTCGAACTGCAGGCAACGGGTAAAGCCCGGGCACACATGGGGAGGGAGGACCAGGTAAGGAGAGGAGTGCCGGAGCCAGGGAAAGAAGCGAGTGGAGTAGGGGAGACGCCTAGGAGGAGCCATCGAAGGAAGGAAGAGGCTGGAAGGGAAAAAGAGTTGAAGATGGGAGGAAACTGGGAAAGGAGAGCTGGGAAGAAGAAAACTAGGAGAAACTTTGGAGGGAGCAGCTAGAAGTAGAGAGGACCAGGGGAAAGTGGAGCAGCTACCAGAGGCAAAACAGCTGGGCCTGGGGATCAGCTGAGGATGGGGAGCACCAGAGGGGGAAAAACAGCCAGGGGAGCAAAGCAGGCAGGGAGGGGAGCAGCAGGGGAGGGCATACCTGGGGAAGGAGGGTATCTGGAGGGGAAAGCAACTGAGGAGTAACTAGCTGGAGCGGGGAGATAGCTAGGTATGGGGACAGCTGGGGAGGAGGAGTAGTGGGGAAGAGGGAGCAATAGGGGAGGAGATTAGCTGGGGCAGGTGCTGCTGGAACAGAGCCTACAGAATCACTCACATCCATGAACTGGACCGGCTTCCTCCCAGGAGCAGGACCATGGCTGGGCAGGAAGCCCTCGCGTTCCTGCCTGTAGCTGGATAGGGCAGGGACATGGGGGCTGGTGACAGGGTAACCTTGACCCCTGATCCCACCTCCTTGGACCCCCAGCTCACCCCACAGCATCCACAGGAAGGGCTCCATTCATCTTTGGATCCTGCAGTTCCATCCTATAGGCAGAGAAGTGTGGTGGGGGGAGTCAGAGGTGGGGGGGGTGCTACGAAGTAAGGAGAGCTGCATGAAGGAGGAGGGAGTCACACAGGGACAGGGAAAGAGATGAAGGAGGGGAACAGGAACAGAGAGGGATGAGAGACGGATATAAGTGGAGAGAGCCGACAGATAAAGAGACCAGAGAGAGAAAAGACTCAGAGAGAGAGGCTGCCAGCTACTCAGAAAGACACGGAGAAAAGATGGCAGCAACAGATACACAGGAGAGAGAGACAGGAAGATACAGAGAGACACCAACGGCAGGTGAGATGGCCATTTGGAGCTGGGATAGCCTCTCAGACCCCGGACTCACTCTGTCTCTCTTGCCGGCTGTCTCTTTCATTCCCAGGTCCCGGGCGCCCTCCCTTTCCCTCCACCCTCACTGCATGGCTCACTCCTTGCAGGGACACGTGTCGAGCCCGGCTGCCCCACCCCTTCTAATGCCCCTCACCCCCCCTCCTGCCCTCGGGGGGGCCACCCGCCTGCCCAGGCCCAGAGCTGATGCAACCTGTTGAATGGGCTGGGGGTGGGGGCAGACTTGGAGACCCCAGCTCCAGGCGCTGCAAACTGCTCTCCGCCACAACTCTGAATATCCTCATTAGAGGCCAAAGACAATCCCCAAACCAGCCCCTTCCCAGGGATAGAAGCGACCAAGAGACCCCCATTTAATCCCCCTTCTAGGGCCTAGATGTATTTTCCAGGACCCCTATCAAGTCTTAAACACTCGTCTTCTGGCAGAATAGCTTTGGAGATACTTCCAGACTTGAGAAACTTCCTGGGCTTAGGGTCCCTCAGGGACCTGGCCCAAGCCCTAATTTCCCCTCCTGAGGATGAGGAGTCTCTGAGACCTTCAGCAAAGCCCCCCTCCCAGGGCCTAATGTGTTTCCTGGAGTGGAGGTGTCTCTGCAATCCTCATCCAAGCCCAGAGCCCCTATCTTGTGGATGGAGGGTTTCTGAAGAAAGCCTCAGCCATAGCTCACTCCCTGGGAATGAGGTATCTCAGAAACCCCCATCCAGAGTCCCCATTAGAGCTAAAACCAGATCCAGGAAACCCCTTCCCAAGTCCTGAATCCCCTTTCTGGAACGGGAAGAGGTCTCAAGGAGCCCCATCCCCAGCCATGAGCACCCTCTGGAGACTCCCACTCACTCCTAAATTTGCTTCCTGGGATCAAGGCACCAAAAGGACATCCCCCCACCCCATTCAATTCCCCACTAGCGCTAAAAATGGGTTCCCTGAGCCCCCTCCTGGGACCCCAACTCATATCTTGGGGCCTCCAGAGGCACCAGCCGCACACCCCCTCCTCACCTCCTTGCTCCTCTCAGCTCCAGAAGCCGTAGCAACTCAGACTAGGGCGCAGGGACCCCCACAGCCAGCGCGGCTCCCGCTCTAGCCGTGCACTGCCTCCGCCCCGCCCTACAGCCAATCCGCTCTGCCCGCGCCTGCTCCGCAGCCAATCGCGTGCCCCATCGCACCTGAAGATATTTTTTTTTTCCGGGGAAGAAACGTACATTTTAATTTCTTTTCCCTCCTTTTGTCCCTAGGCGGGGGAAGGCGTGGGGGAGGGGTGCCCCCATCAGGCGGAGAGACCGAGGTCTGTGGGTGTCTTGGTGGTGCAGGAGATGGACTGAAAGACTGAGGCAGTAGATCCATACCGAGAGAGAGGGACAGGCACACAGAGGGAATGGAGTCAGAGATCAGACAGACAGCAGGGAGAGATGGATGGCGGGAAGAGGTGCACAGAGAAGGAGAAAGAGGGAGACGAGGAGAAACAAAGTCACAAATAGAGATAGGCAGGCAGAAGAAACAACCACACAGGGACAGACAGACCACAGAGGAAACAGAAAGACAGAAGGAGGGGGCAAGGGGAGCATGGTAGACAGGCAGAGGGGCGGTCATGGGGAGAGACACACGGACAGACTCAGAAACAGGCAAGTGGGTAGGGATTGGCTCATGTAAGCACATGGAGGAAGGCAGCAGGCAGTCAGGCCCAGCAATAGACAGGAGACACAGGCTGGCACATAGACAGGTGGACACAGCCAGACATCCCCAAACAGAGGTTGGGACCAAACTCACCCACCCAGAGAGGCAAAGGAACAGAGGGAGTGTTCGAGGCAGAGAGACACACAGAGGGACAGAAGAAACAGGCAGGGAGGCAGACAGGGTGGACGGAAAGGCCTAGGGACAGCAGGGGGACTGGTACAGGGCTAGACATAGCCAGGCCATTATAGGCCTTATAGGCAGACCACAGACAGACAGCCTAGTCAGGAGAGGACCCTAGATCTTAGAGACCTCCAGAGGGAGGCAGGGAGGGCGTTTGTGGTTGGGAGAGGAGTGTGGACACACGCACTCTGCACACTGGGCACGCCCTGGAGTCTTGGACCCCAGCCCAGGCATGGGGTGGGGCCCGTCCAAGCTCTAACTCAGGAGCCCCAATGTCTGTCTATTTGTCTTATATAGGGGTCTGTCTGTTCACTCCCATACAGGCATGTGACAGGAATGTCTGTCCCGGGCAAGGCATGTGTCCCCTATGGGGAGTCAGGCAGGGTGGACCTGGAGTCTTGGAGCAGCTCAACTGGGCTGCTTGATGCCCAAGTGAACAAGAAGCCTCTGTCCAGGCCTCTCGCCTGTCTGCCCACCCCCTACAGGGAGCACAGAATTCCCGGAAAGGCCAGGAGCTGGCTGAGGCTTCAAAGCTAGCCTAGATGCCCCCACCACACCCGAAGTTGGAGGAGGGCGAGGGATGGGGTGTTTACTTCCCCACAGCAGGAGAGAGACTCCTGCACACTCTGGGGGTCACAGCTACACAGCAGGCCCTGTCACTGCCCCATCCAGGGACTCAGAGATGGCAGCAGACTCACCATGACCCACAGAGGTGCAAACTAGTACATCCCGATGAGCAAACACACAGCCACACACAGCCACACAGGTTGACCGACACGACACACATACACTTACCAGTGCACACAGATAGCCCAGGCTTGTGGGACAGTCACATGCACTCACAGCCACACAGGGATGCTACTCTTACAGGTATCAACTACAGACCCAGAGCTGCAGACGGATTGCACAGACTGGCACGGACATAGGCTCACATTGATTCACAGACACTACAGACTCCCGGACATCGTCACCCACAGCCCCACAGCCACACCAAGGACAACCAACAGGCAAGTCACACACACAGACTCGCAGCCACGCACAGCCAACAATATCGTGCACAGGCTCTATATCTCCCCCTACCCCCCCCCACACACACGATTCCACGTTCAGATGGCCCCAGAGGCAAACTTCCAGATTCAAGGCCTAAAATGATACTTCTGTGCATGTGAACTAGTGTGTGCGCTTGTGACCACATGTAACCACATGCAGCTCTGATCACAGAGAGAGAGGAGCACTCACAGGCAGATGTGATTGTACAAACAGAAAAGCTACAGCCACACACTCACACACACACACACACACACACAACTGCATTCGAGCAGATGGCCGCATAGAGCCGTGTACACACATAGCTATTCACAAGTCACGTCTGGAAAGAAACAGGGAAAACATATACAGGTGCGCAAACAGGAAGTGCAGGGATATGGAGAGTACACTTGCTATCGTTGCAAAAAGGAAATCCAGAAAATACACCTAAAGCTGCCTGAGGAAGAAACAGGGGAACCAGAGAGTACACACACAGTGGCAACAAAAGAAACACCCCTAGGGCACACACGCCTGCAGCCGCTCACCAAGGAGAAACACACCGAGAAGAAAGATCCATACACGTAGGCAATACACACACAGGAGAGACAAATCCTCAAATACACTCATCGACCACAAGCGTCACAAAGGAGACAAACACCCAAGCAGCACACACACAACCCCATATAAATGAATTGTATAGGCAGATGGTACCAACACACACAGTCACCAAAAAGGAAACACATGGGTGGGCGCGGTGGCTCACGCCTGTAATCCTAGCACTTTGGGAGGCGGGGGCAGGCTAGGATCACTTGATGCCAGGGGTTCAAGACCAGCCTGAGCAAGAGTGAGACCTCGTCTCTACAAAAAATAGAAAAACTAGCTGGGCGTGGTAGCATGTGTCTGTAGTCCCAGCTACTTGGGAGGCTGAGGCAGGAGGATGGCTTGAGCCCAGGAGTTTGAGGTTGCAGTGAGCTATGATGATGCCACTGCACTCGAGCCCAGGCGACAGAGCAAGACTCCGTCTCGAAAAAAAAAAAGAAAGAAAGAAAGAAAGATAGAAACACATGAGTTGAACAGGCAGCCATAGACAGAAGACACAACCAGGCAAGTTACTTAGGAAGACACACGTGCAGCTCACATACAGGTGGTTATGGCTGAGAACCTGTACAGGCAGATGAGATACACTCAGGCTATTCACACACACACACACACACACACACACACACACCTGCCCGGTACTTCCCTCCAGGTCTGTCTACTCTTGACTCTCTCTCCTCTGACACCCCTCCCCCACCCATAGACATTACACGTGTGTGCTACGGGCTGGCCAGGGAAAGAGACACCTGTCAGCAGAGGCCTTGACCCAGGTAGTTAAAAGGGATGGGAGATGAGGCAAGGCAGGTATCTATATTTCAAGAAAAGTCCAAAGTGTCCTGTACAAAGAACTCGTATACCTTGGAAGAAAAAATAGATACCCCTCCCCCCCATCCATTTACCACCTCCCTGCCGCAGCCTCCTGCTCTGGTCACTCCCCTCCCAGAGCCTTCCCCGGCTCTCCAACGTTGCCCAGCACAGGGCTACCAGGCACACAGCAGGTACTCAATGAATGTCACTTATCAGGTGTCATATTATTATCACTATCATTTTTATGTCTGCCAAGGGAACTCTTCTGGCGGGGGATGAACCTCCACCCAGCTCTACACCCCGTAGCTCTGCTAAGTTTCAGAGCACTGCAAACAGCAGGTGTTCACCATATGCTGGTAGCAGGAAAAACA